AGTTCATTTGCTGTAAGTCTGCTGGGTGGATGTTGTTTGTGTTCAGTGCTTGACCCTGCGGACTTTCGTGACAATACCAAGCGTTCCTATCAAAGATTTTTCTGATGTCATTGGTTTTGAACTTTTCCCTGTCTATTTCCTTGATGAGTTCTGCGTAAGTGGGTATTCGTGTCAATCCCTGTTTTGCGTTGATTACTTCTGCTGTCATTACTATATATTAATACTTTAGATTTTTATATTAATCTTGTGTATCGCCTCTCAACCACTGTTTATACTCATCAATTCTCTGTTTCATATTCTGGACGTTCGCCCCGTAATCTTCCAATCTGTGATTTTTCCTCACCTCCCTCAACCTTGTCATTTCGTTCTGTAGCATCTCATTCTCTTCCTTCATCCTCTGCTTGACCTGTAAGACCTTGTAATCGTGCTCGGTGTTGTGATATTCAAGAAGACGCTTCAGGTAAAGATGATGGTTGTGAGTTGGCATCCTTGCCGTGTTGCTGTCGTTGTGGTAGTAGTGGTCATAACTACTATACACTTTTTTCTTCTGTCTGGCATTTCGGGCGTTCCGCTCCTGTAGTTGGCACTTTTGTTTGAATGGACGGTTTGTCTTCTGTTGATGTCCTTGCGGACGTTTTCGTAGATGTCTGTTTTGTTGAGTTCTATTTTCTGTTCCTTGATGTTCATTTATATATATAATACTTTATAATTTTTTTTGATGCTAAAGATTTCAATTTCTCTCTCGTCGCTTTGTTCTTTTCCTCTTTGGCTTTTTTGTAGGTGTCTCTGGCGGTCATTGCGCTCTGTAGTTCTTCCTTCAGTTGCTTTACAAGGTCGTTTTTGAATGCCTCTGGGTCAAAAGGTGGTTTCGCCCTTGACGGTCTTACCCTTTTGGGTTTTGGGACTACCGTTGCTGGTTGCGGTTTCTCTTGAACTGGTTTTTCAATTATTTCTTCTGGTTTCTCCTCTTCCTTCGGTGTTTCTTCCTGTATTGGTTCTGGTATTGGTTCTTCCTTTGGTTCTTCATTATCAATCTCTTTTACGACTACCTCTGTCATATATTAATATTATAGATAATTTTTTATACTTTCAAAATCTCGTGCCTCAATTCGGTTTGTTCAATCCTTCCAGTTTGAAGGTTCTGTTTCCGACATCATCGTATTCTATCTGAATCTTGACGATTTTGTAGGATTGATTGCTCCATTTTGAGTTATACTCCTTCCTCTCGGTGTAGTTGTCTTTTTTCTTCTCAAAGACCTTCACCATATCATTCACTTTGACCTCTGGATATTTGCGAGTGTTCTTTTCCCCCCTTGTCAAATTCACCCTGACGTCCATATGGTTCTTGTCATCGTGGGCGTCCTTGGGTTTCATTTTCGTGGATGAATGGACGGTGTCGTTGTATTTATCCAACGCTTTGGACAGCATAACAGTCCAACTACCACGATTAAACCTCACCCTGTTGTGTATCATATTTGTCATTGTCCTTATGAAACGTTCCACAACATTAGCGTGAGTTAGGGTGACGACGTGAGTGATGCCTTCTTTCTCAAAAAAAGTCTTTAACTCCCGCTTGGAAGGCACGGTCATTATCACTATAAACGGACATCGGAAAACCCATTTTGTTGAAACTCTCTTTCATCGCCGATAATGTGATTGGTTCGGATTTTTCTTTCATAGGGACGACGTTTGCCAACTTGCTGAAGATGTCAATGACCACCAACCCGTATCTCGGATCACCGTTCTTGATGGGAATTTTCGTATCTGGTTCTTTGGTAAGGGGTTTCATATCCATTATGTCAATCTGATACTCAAACCTTGCGAAGGGTGCGGTGTAGGAGTTTGAACCCCTGTATTTTCTAATCTGTTTGTTGGGCTGTTTCCTCATAAAGTTTTCCACATCCACCCTGTTGATGGTCTGGTCTTGTTCCTTGGCTTTCTTGAGGGTTTCATTGATTGAACCGAAGCCCGTTTCCAGATTGTAATAGACATTGCTTATGATGTCATCTCTTGATAGTCTCCTTGCCATATATTATAATATTAGATTTTTAAAATTATAAATTATAAGCAATAAAAAAATATACTTAAAGAAAAAATACTTATATATAGTAAGAGTAAATAAGATGACGAAATTTGACTGTGGATGTCGTATAATGACAGATGTTATAACCCTGAACGACAGAAACCAACCTAATTGGAACTACTTGCTCAAAACCTTCGTGAATGTTTGTGGCAAGTGCTACAAGAAGCAAATGAAATTCCAATATATGGAAAACAAACTTATGGAGATGGAAAAGCAACGAATCGAAATGTTTTTGGAAAATTAGGATGAAGAGGAAGACACATACTTTGACCTGACAGAGTTGAAGGAACATCTCAAAACCCTCCCACCCAATGAAAGACACAAAGTGAAGGATTTTGAGAGGTTAAGAAACCTCGCCAATGGACAAGACCCCAACGAAGGAATGAGTGAAATAGATATGGTCATAAGAGAACTGGAAGAGGAGGAAAGGGAAAATAAAAACCAACCTGAACGCGAAAACTGAACGAGCCCCCAACAATTACTTAAAGAAAAAATGACTATATATAGTAAGAGGATGCTATTTACTTATAAAAATTGTGGATGTTGTAAGAAAGAAATGACTGACATAAAGGTTTTATTGAACAACATTTTTCCTGCTGGAATTTGTGATGAGATATGTATTTACAACCTTCACTGTTCGAAATGTAAAGACTTAAACGATAGGGAGCGTAGATACATAGATTTCAATTATCATGTTGACTATTTTAATGATAAACAACTTACAAGAGCAGAAAAAACAATCTATTTCTTTAAAACAAGGATGGAGAAATCACCTATTTATTTATCCAACACGAACCGAACAAACACTCGGCAAATGAAAAGAGACATTTATGTTTTAATGGATACATTCAAACTCAAGCAAGAATTCAAACACGACAAACTGTTCTTAATGGCGATTAAGTCTTTTGTGAAAAGGGAGTGGAAAACTACCTATCACTTCCTTAAAAACTTTCACGACCTTACGTATATGAAGTATTGTAAGAACAAGCGGGAGTGGTGGTTTCCTCAAAACGATTGGACTTATACATTCAGAAATAGGGAGTTCAAGGTACATGACATTTTGTTTTTTTTTTTTTTTGCGTGAATACCTTGAAGAACTGTTCAAGGGTTATGAAAAATACTGTAATCTAGCGGAAATACAAGAGCACCTACAAAAAGTGATAAATACTTAAAGATAAAATAACTATATACTGTATATAGTAAGAGAAAATGAGTAGAGCAAAAATTGAGGTTATAGATACAGGGAATATTGGTATGTATGCTGACTTTGGTAGTGAAAGTGAAGATGAACACGGATGTGATAGACAAGCAATAGAAAAAGAAGATGAAGAGATTAGAGACTTTGTAAAGTGTCATCCTATGCCTTCACCAGATGATGAGGAAGGAGACAAATTTTGGAAGAAAGTAATTAACAGATTGAAAAACGACCAAGGAATAAATGCTATGATAATATATTCGTCTGTAAATTTTGACATTATGAAAAAGATGTATGAAAACCTCACTGATAAAAAGGTCATCGTTGATTGTGGTAAGGAACTTAACCGTGATGGAAAATGGGATGCTATGGCAATAAATCAAACTCTATTAGCATTAGCAATAGATGAACTGAATGATACAGACAAACCTATCACAAGTCAAGTCAGGATAATTGAACACTGGTGGGATGGAATAGGAAAGTGGAAAGCATAAATGAACAAGACACCAAATTACTTAAAGAAAAAATACCTATGCCTATATATAGTAAGAGAAAAATGCCAATGCTTGGAGTTAGCGAAGAGGAACTGAAAAGAGATAGAGAAAAATTAATGAATTTCATAAAAGAAAATCCGTATCCTGATGATAAATTTATAGAATATGACCTACTACTTAAGCAAGAACAATCTTTAGAGATACGCAGAGTATGGAGAGATAAACCACGATCTTATGAAGAAATTTATGAAAGCATATTTGATAAAGATTTAATCAAAAAACACGGTGAGAGGATACACCATAGAGGAGGAATGACAGCATTACAACAAAACTATGATACACTATTAATTAACATTATTGAAACATTGAATGGACCAACGAGGACTGGATAGAGACACAATCATTTTAGTGTTCTACAAATTTCCCCAACATTAAAACGATTGTTTCTCAATATTGGGATGGAATAGGTAGTGGTGATGAAAAGTGGATACACTAAACCTAACGATTAATTCATAATATCTCAACAAAAATATATTATGAAGTAATCACCCACCCAAACACAAACAAAAAACCCAACAGCCCAAACAAATCCTACCCCCATTCAATCCAAACATCAACAGTGAAAGTTAGGGGCAAAATAGTCCCAAAACCCCTACCACATAAAACATCAAAGGTAGGGAAGAAACATTGAACAAAAACATAAAAACCATAACAGGGGACATATTAACATAAACTGTCCCAGTATCCCTGTTTTACATTTTTTTTATGGGACATGTGGTAATTTGAGATAATTTCATCATTTAATAAAATTGAATCCCCTTCATCTAGCCATATCTAGCCATTTACGCCCTGCATATTTCACATATAAATAGTTAGAATATTACTGATATCACTGTCCGTCCTGCAGATGGGATGATTACACCAGCTATGATGATCACAATATTTTTTCTCACATGTCTGGGATGATTTGAACCAAGCACAACATGCAATAATATGCTATATGTCAATATGTCATGTGATATTGGTGACAACATGTACATTCTAGCTACGTCCGTGGTGATTCTATATGGGCATTGGGTCAAGGATTTGATATTTTGGTCATTGTCATTGTTAGCCGTAAACCATCAGCATTTTGACCATTTTGGGTGGCCAATTTTCACCACCCAACTTGATGCCCGATGCTAAAAATAGCTTTGTAGCTTCATTTCCCCCTTTGGTATGCTCCGAGGTCGTTTGAATCTGCGACTGCGTCACCAGGACATTTTTTTTGAAGTGACACCGACCAGCGACTGGGAAACAGCCACAGACGCACCATAGGATTATTAACCAATGATTAACATTAATATTAACATTAACCAATCATAGGATATAACATAGACCCGGGCAAGCCGGCGGCGGAAGTTTCCCAAACATAAATGACCTATAGTTCAAAGACAACCTGTCCCGACCGTGTCCTTCCCTCGACAACCGTTTGATTTTTTCAGCGAGAGACGAAGCAAAGTCTTCACACTCCACACTCCACACTTCACACTGCACTCTTCGCACTCCAAACTTCAAACTTCACACTCCACACTTCACACTTCACACTTCTCACTTCTCACTGCTTCCTTCATACTCCAAACCTCACACTTCACACTTCACACTTCACACTGCGCTCTTCGCACTCCAAACTGAAACTTCACACTCCACACTTCACACTTCACACTCCACACTTCACACTTCACACTTCCCACTGCTTCCTTCACACTTCACACTTCACACTGCACTCTTTACGCCCCACACTTCCCACTGCTCTAAACCTACGTGCAACAAAAAAACACTAGTGCCAAAATGGAGAAAATCTGCTAACAAATTTATTTTGCGGCCTTCATGCAGCCACTCCAAGACGATTTACGAGATCCAGCTGCAAAAGACAATAGTATTACAAATGCAGCCACAGCACGAAGCAACCTTGACGCAGCCATTGCAATAGGATCTGCAGAGACTGAGTTGCAAAACACAATAGAACTACGCGCAACGGCGTCGGAAATTGTAGCTCCAAAACCGGATCTCGACGCCAGAGCGAAAAAAAAGAAGATTTTGAAACACTTTTTAAAAGGATTTTAAGAAGGAAAATCTTTAGCGCCAAAATGGAGAAAATCTGCTGACAAATCACTGTGGCGGCCTTCATGCAGCCACTCCAAGACGATTTACGAGATCCAGCTGCAAAAGACAATAGTATTACGAATGCAGCCACAGCACGAAGCAACCTTGACGCAGCCATTGCAATAGGATCTGCAGAGACTGAGTTGCAAAACACAATAGAACTACGCGCAACGGCGTCGGAAATTGTAGCTCCAAAACCGGATCTCGACGCCAGAGCGAAAAAAAGACGATTTTGAAGCACTTTTTAAAAGGATTTTTAGAAGGAAAATCACTAGCGCCAAAATGGAAAAAATCTGCTGACAAATCACTGTGGCAGCCTTCATGCAGCCACTCCAAGACGATTTACGAGATCCAGCTGCAAAAGACAATAGTACGCATGCAGCCACAGCACGAAGCAACCTTGACGCAGCCATTACAATGCGATCTGCAGAGACTGAGTTGCAAAACACAATAGAACTACGCGCAACGGCGTCGAAATTGTAGCTCCAAAACCGGATCTCGACGCCAGAGCAGAAAAACTTTATTTTTGAAGCGTTTTTAATGAAGAATTTAAATAGAAAATGAAAGCGGCCAAAATCTGAAAGAATCCAGCTGCAGCAAGTTCACGCAGCCATTACCATGCTATTAGCAACAATCCCCAGCAAAACACAAGCATTTGAAACCGGCGGCTGTTTTAGCAGTTGAAATAACAGATCTCTTGTTTTCGCACTACCAGACAACATCATAACGTTAATATAACAGATCGAAATTAACTATAGTTGAAGTAACGAAACAATTACACGTACCAACTCGTCCGAACTGGGGTCCAAGAAATACGAAACCCACTTGCTCATCCAAATTTTAGATCCCCAACCAACCATCTCATCCCAACAGGGGTCAAATAAACACCAAACATACCATCTCACCCAGCTTGAGGTCTGATGTCTGAAAAAGGAAATGGTCCAGAAAATCATACTTTCAACAAACCACAAAAATCCAACCCATGCTGCATAAAGCATTGAGCGGATCTTAGTGAGACCTTGCATTTATCCGCTCAAACGACAGCATGTTTTTTTCACATGTATGCAATACGATCATGGTTTTTTGTGCGGTTCGTAACAACGCACACAGAAACCAAAACCAAGTGACAGAGGCATTCTGCGGTTCGCAACTCTAAATGAAAGGCGAAGCTACTGAAGCACAGCAATTCAGACCCGGATGCGGTTCATAACAACGCACACCCAGCCCTCGGCAGTCAAACGAGAGTTGATCCCTCTGCGGCAAGACCTTGTCTGCGCTTCATCTCAGCATCAACAAACTCTGGTTCAAAGGACCGCACAGCTTCCCAGAGATGAAGGTATTGTCTGCGGAGAACTTCGTCGTCCGACTCTTTGTCGTCCAACCACGTACTGTTGTTGTGCAAGACGATTTTGAAGCACTTTTTAAAAGGATTTTTAGAAGGAAAATCACTGACGCCAAAATGGAGAAAATCTGCTGACAAATCACTGTGGCAGCCTTCATGCAGCCACTCCAATACGATTTACGAAGTCCAGCTGCAAAAGACAATAGTATTACGAATACAGCCACAGCACGAAGCAACCTTGACGCAGCCATTACAATGCGATCTGCGGAGACTGAGTTGCAAAACGCAATAGAAGTACGCGCAACGGCGTCGGAAATTGTAGCTCCACAACCGGATCTCGACGCAAGAGCAGAAAAAGTTGAGTTTTGAAGCGTTTTTTATAAAGAATTTAAATAGAAAATGAAAGCAGGCAAAATCTGAAAGAATCAAGCTGCAGCAAGTACACGCAGCCATTACAATGCGATTAGCAACAATCCCTAGCAAAACACAATGGTATTACGTCCTCAGCTCGTCCACCGAACCATTTGAAACCTTCTAGACATTGCGGGAACGATCCTACAGTTGCAAAGCACAATGGAATTCCATCGGCAACTCCTCCACCAGCACCACTTGCAATGCCATTTGCATTGCGGGAACGATCCTACAGTTGCAAATCACAATGGAATTCCATCGGCAACTCATCCACCAGCACCACTTGCAATCCCATTTACATTGCGGGAACGATCCTACAGTTGCAAATCACAATGGAATTCTGTCGACCGCGAATGCACGAAAAACAGTTGAAACCCCATTTACAATGCGGAACCGATCCGAACATGATCCGAGATGATGATCCGACCACACACGAGACCGTCTCGCACCCGTCGCACCGCAGAGGTAGATCATCGACGTTCGGGGACGCACTTTGTCTGGAAAAACACAAGGTTTCGTGCATCTGCTATCTCTCAAAAACGCATTTCGTGCGAGACTTCCTTCAAAACTCCATCGGCAACTCCTCCACCAGCACCACTTGCAATCCCATTTGCAGTGAGGGAACGATCCTAGAGTTGCAAATCACAATGGAATTCCATCGGCAACTCATCCACCAGCACCACTTGCAATCCCATTTACATTGCGGGAACGATCCTACAGTTGCAAATCACAATGGAATTCTGTCGACCGCAAATGCACGAAACACAGGTGAAACCCCATTTACAATGCGGAACCGATCCGAACATGATCCGAGCATGATCCGAACATAATCCGACCACACACGAGACCGTCTCGCAACCGTCGCACCGCAGAGGTAGATCATCGAGGTTCGGGGACGGACTTTGTATGGAAAAACATAGGGTTTCGTGCATCTGCTATCTCTCAAAAACGCATTTCGTGCGAGACTTCCTTCAAAACTCAATCGGCAACTCCTCCACCAGCACCACTTGCAATCCCATTTACAGTGAGGGAACGATCCTAGAGTTGCAAATCACAATGGAATTCCATCGGCAACTCATCCACCAGCACCACTTGCAATCCCATTTACATTGCGGGAACGATCCTACAGTTGCAAATCACAATGGAATTCTGTCGACCGCAAATGCACGAAACACAGGTGAAACCCCATTTACAATGCGGAACCGATCCGAAATGATCCGAGCATGATCCGACCACACACGAGACCGTCTCGCAACCGTCGCACCGCAGAGGTAGATCATCGAGGTTCGGGGACGGACTTTGTATGGAAAAACATAGGGTTTCGTGCATCTGCTATCTCTCAAAAACGCATTTCGTGCGAGACTTCCTTCAAAACTCCATCGGCAACTCCTCCACCAGCACCACTTGCAATCCCATTTGCAGTGAGGGAACGATCCTAGAGTTGCAAATCACAATGGAATTCCATCAGCAACTCATCCACCAGCACCACTTGCAACCCCATTTACAATGCGGGAACGATCCTACAGTTGCAAATCACAATGGAATTCTGTCGACCACACATGCACGAAAAACTGTTGACACCCCATTTACAATGCGGAACCGATCCGAGAATGATCCGAGAATGATCCGACCACACACGAGACCGTCTCGCACCCGTCGCACCGCAGAGGTAGATCATCGACGTTCGTGGACGCACTTTGTATGGAAAAACATAGGCTTTCGTGCATTTGCTATCTCTCAAAAACGCATTTCGTGCGAGACTTCCTCCAAAACTCCATCGGCAACTCCTCCACCAGCACCACTTGCAATGCCATTCTAACTCTTTCTTTGACTAACTCTTTCCCTGACATTCTAAAAGTTACAATTAACTCTGTCCCTAACTAACTCTTTCCCTCACTAACTCTTCCTTTGACTAACTCTTTCCTGACAGTCTAACTCTTTCTTTGACTAACTCTTTCCCTGATGAACTCTTTCCCTAACTAACTCTTTCCCTCACTAACTCTTTCTTTGATTATCTCTTTCCCTGATGAACTCTTTCCCTAACTAACTCTTTCCCTGACTAACTCTTTCTTTGACTATCTCTTTCCCTCATGAACTCTTTCCCTAACTAACCTTTCCCTGACTAACTCTTTCTTTGACTAACTCTTTCCCTGATGAGCTCTTTCCCTAACTAACCTTTCCCTGACTAACTCTTTCCCTGACATTCTAAAAGTCCGTAACACGGAAGTTTCTCCCCCTAAACTTCCTTTGACAATATGTCAATAAAATTTTCAGCTGTCACTTGGCAAAGGAGCAGACTCGCATAGACTCGCTGTGGTTTGTCGTTTGGACGAATCTTGAGTCGAACAGGGCATTATGGGTGGCTCGGCCAGGGACACGGTGAAATCCCGGGATACCCCAACCGAGCGCACCCTTCGTCAAATGGACCGTTCAATGGTTTACAACTTGACAACCTTTCTTGGATGGTCTCCCCAGCGATCCAGGTTTTGGTCATAGACATGTGTATAGATATACAGCCGCAATAGTTCTTAGTGTGGAATCACAGGTTGGAATGCACAGATGATTTCAATCTGAATTTTCAGGATCGCAGCCGCTTTCCTCCCTTCACTTTCCTCCAAGGTTGCTTGGTCACAATGTGGTCACAGTGGTGCACGCGCGGACCCAAATTTGGGGCGCAGGAAAGCCATGACCCAAAGGGACCAGCCACGGGCAAAACTGAACTGAGCGCTACGCAGCAAACGTGGGACAGGAGTAGTGTCCAGTGGTTGCAATCCCATCCCCCATTAATGGTTTGTAATGGTTATTCATGCTTATTTGCAATGGCTACGGAGTGGTGAATATTTTGTCTTGATTTAACTCCGTGAGCAAACGGCCGAGGGTGCTTTGTTTTCTACCAACTAAACCCTGCTTAGCATAAAAGAGGCCAGATCCGAAACCCTATTGATGGATTTTCATGGTTTTATATGGTTAATGTGGTAAACCTAAACAATAAACTTCCCCATAGAGGTTGAGGCTTGGGTACACCCCTATTGTTGGGACCACCTCCATTCTGTGGTCCCAAATATGTGGTTTCACCCCATCCACCATGGATTATGGGGGGTGTTTAATTTCTTTGGGGAAGGAGTTCGCCTCAGGAATCGTACCAGGTAGATTGGAACCTCTGATTTTTACCACAAGCAGCTAGCAAATTTGGTGTTTGCCACATTGACAAAGACCCACTTTGAAGAAGTTTCAACATTTTGGAGGTATTGCACAATTTTAAACAGCCCTGTTGATACTGCACAATTTTAAACAGCCCTGTTGATACTATGTACTGTATATACTTGCTTTTGTGATTAGATAGTCGTGAGCTCACTTAGCCAGTCAATTCTTGTGCAGGAAGTAAATTACACCCTGCAGAGCCGCTAGTGCTAGTACATTTATAGCTTGGTAAGCTTTGGTCTATTTGGGGTGCTTAAGCTTGGACAAACCGCGCTGTGATAAGACCGTTGCTAATCAAACTTGGCCGGGCATTTCCAACCTCTTTCTGGCCTGCTAGATCTCGCCACTTGGGGTGCAGATGGTGAGAGGGGATCTGTTTCGGTTGAATGGTTCGTGAGCTTGAGGCTGCTGTTGAAGTAGGTCCGGCCCAATGCTAATTTCCATGGGCACTTTGGCACAGCAAGGGCAGTTTCTTTTCTCATTGATTGATTTCTTAGTAACCAGTAAATCGGCAACTAAGTCCAATTGAACAGCCAAACATATCCAGCATGTTTACAGACTGCATATGTTCATTCCTTTGAATGTCTCTGACCTGAAATCCTAGCTATTCTTAGCTTCTACTTCACGGGCAATGCTCCTGAAAGTGCCGACAGCCACGACTTTCCAATGCTTGGGGCTAGTCAGGGCTAGCAGAGTGACAGGGCAGCATGAAGGATTACTTTCAAAACGGGCCGTTGGCCACACATGAAGCTCAATTTCTAATACATTCTAAAACCAAGTGGAAGAGAACATGGCTGTTTCTGAAGGGGTCACTCTTTTGCTCTTGTGCACTGCCAAGGGCTCTAGTTGTCAAGTTGTACATACAGATTTTTCGTCTCGATTGCGATGGAGCTGCTTCCATGTGCCCCAGCATGGCTTCCCCTCCAACTCAGCCACGCGCTTGTGGTCCCAATGCTGCTCCTGGCAGCTGCGCACCTGAGTTTAACCAAGACCGATCTTCAGCTCGGGCTGGCGCGACTTCGGGAAAAGTTCCAGCAGCGCAAGCAGCCTCTGAGCCAGGGCGAGCTCGATCGAGCTCGGCGTTTCGAGGAGGAGCTGCTGAGAGTTCGGCTGGAGATGTTTCAAAGGGTCCCTAGCAGAGGAAAGGTGTTCTTTTCAGTTTTTTTTGGTCGATGCCCTTTTTTTGGTCATTCTTGCGTTTTCCATCCTTCAATAAGGACTGATGAGCAGACGATGACGATGACGATGATGAGGATGATGGCCACCACGACGACGACGACGAGGAGGAGGAGGAGGATGATGATGATGATGAGGAGGACGAGGACGAGGACGAGGACCACGACGACGACGAGGAGGACGAGGAGGAGGAGGAGGAGGGGGACAACGAGGAGGACGACAACGACAACGACAACGACAAAGATGACGTTGATGGCGAGAATGACGATGATTATGAGGATGAGGATGATGATATTGATGATGATGATGACGATGATGCTGATGACGACGATGATGATGACGATGACCATGACGAAGATGATGAAAATGAAGAAGAAGATGATGACGATGACGATGACAACGACAATGACGTGGACGACGAGGATGATGAGGATGACAAGGATGGCGATGATTATGATGATTATGATGATGATGAGGAGGAGGAGGACGACGAGGAGGAGGAGGACGACGAGGAGGACGACAACAACAACGACAACGACAACGACAAAGATGATGTTGATGGCGAGAATGACGATGATTATGAGGATGAGGATGATGATCATGATGCTGCTGCTGCTGGCGGCGGCGGCGTAGTGGGTGGTGGGTGGTGGGTGGGTGGTGGGTGGTGATGGTGATGACGAAGATGAGGATCCCACTGTTCAACTGACTCTTTTATTTTTTCCATATACATGGATTTCTCCAGTTGTCGGATGTTGTCGGGTGGTATCAGATTCATTATGTGAGCTGCCCTCCTTCCATTTCCTCCCCTGGGCCCCAATCATCCCTCAAAGGGGTCCTGATTTTTTTTTGAGGCGGCTCAGCGACCGCCTAGGCCCACCTTTTCGCTCTACATTTTCTGTTCGCATACAGCCTGGCCATGGTTCTGAACCTGATGATGGATCCGAGCCTAGCTTCATTGATGCAACTCATAAGCCCACTAGTGGGCTATGCTATGCACGTGTCTGTTCAGGCAGGCTTCGTACAGTTCAAGACCAAGAACCACTTTCGCGTGGTGCAAGGTATTGCTGTTGTTTGCTATGCCACATTCCTCTACGGTGTGGCCAATGAGCAAGAATATGAACGTTTCTGTGCCGCGGAAAGGATTGCAGGTACGATACTTATGCTGCTATGTGTGCTTCTCATTGGTATGCACGTGACCCTCCCAATCTCCATCCTTTCGTCTGCAGTAGTAACTTTCAAACGCTGGCAGTGGATGGGTTTCTCGAACGTCACTCCCGAGCTCGTGTGGTCCACTCTGGTCTCGCATGCGACAGCTACTTGGATGGTGTTCTGGGTTTCGCATGCCCTGCAGTCCAGCATAGCTAGAAAACTGGAATCCGACGATGCGTCGTCCCTCCTTCTGGCATCCCGTCATGTCTTGAAAGGTGTCTGTGATGGAGACTTGGTATTAGATCGTCGCAGCCATCTGATTGTGGAGGATGCGAGCCCGTTGGAACGGCTCTTGCATGCCAGGGAGAAGTTGAGTGGAAGAAACTTCTTGGACCTCTTACTGGACGCAGATGGGCGGCAGCGATTTTTGCACTTTCTGCAAAGTGAAGCTGCCCCCAAAGCAAGCAAAGCCGCCATCCCGCCATGCCTGAGGATCGCGTTGCAGGGGGCGGATGGCCCAGTGTCCACCGATGTCTTCTGCACAAGTTGTGCGGCAGCAGGGAAAGACTGCTCCTGGCCCATGTTTCAATAGTTTTTTTAATGCCCATAAACACTTGAGCAGCCGCCAAAACCTCCAAGTGGAGATTTAAAGGGCTGTTAAAGTAAGATGGCTCCGCGAAAGCTAAAACCACGTTCGCGAAAGAGCTCCCGCGAAAGCTCGCGAAAGAGACTTTCAAGGCTCAAAATCCTGGTTTTAAGTATGTTTGTAGACAGCTTCCTCAGATGTATCTGGATCCATACGGATACATTATTCACAAATTTCGATAGATGTGACCCGAAAGTCCGCGAAAGCTTCGCGAAAGCCCTGACTAGCTGGGACGGGCCCCCCCCATTTGATAGGGGAGTGGCAGTGCCCACTAAGATCTGGCGCTTGTGGCGTCTGGCTGTGCCCACTGAGATCCGCGGTCGCAGTTGGGGTCCGGCAGTGCCCACTGAAATCTGGCGCTCGCGGTTGAGGTCCGGCCCCACTGAGATCTGGAGCTCGCGGTTGAGGGTGGGGTGGAGGACGAGGAGGTGAAGGAGGAGGAGGCCACCGGATGCAATATCAATCCACATGTTGCCACAGTGATAACTGCTGCAAAACGATGTCCGTTGTGCTTGGAATTAAAGGTTTCAAAATGCGCACTTCACTGCGGAAAACGGGGAATTTGTGTCACATGTTTTCCGCGAAAGCTCGCGAAAGTGAATTTCAGACACATGGATGCCGCGAAAGAAAAACCCTGCATCGCGAAAGGTTCGCGAAAGAGATGGCGAAAGGGAAGACAGAGTAGAACACAAAGTATCGGGGTTTCGGCAACTGCTCAATTATTGATTTGTTCGTTTCCTTTTACATCGGTTGAAATGGGGTGGTGAGCCCCAAATCAGAATCATGACAACGCCAGTTTTTGGTCGTAAAAAAACGCTGCGCCCAGATTACCTGCTGGCATTCCGCGCTGATCCGGACCAAGTTCTTGCCCCACCCGATGCGCTGTTGGGGGCTTTTGAGGTCACGCGGCAAGGCTCGGAAGGGCGGCAGCGGCAGAGGTCAGAGGGCCCAGGCAGCTCCAGCGAAGTCGCGGAAGCCTTCAATGAGCTGGTGCAGGCTGGGTGGTTCGAAGGTTCGGTTTCGCCTGCGCGAAGAACACCATGATATAGAACATGATAGAAATCATTTGAAATCTATTGCGCATAACAATTTGATATATATATATTTTGATATATGTTCTGTCCTCGTAGTAATAGGAGATATTTTCCCAATGATGGCGATAGAACATGATATAAATTAATTATACGACATCATACTGTAAGAATCCAGCCCCCAATGCCTTGAAAAGCGGATGTTGCATGGTCAGCTTTTGGGGTGCATTCTGTTTGCCACAAATGGGGAATGTATTTCCTGCTGAAACATCCCAAACGCTTTCGGCAGGTTTGAGTGATTCTCTCAATTAGTTGTTTTTTTTTAATCGGTACTTTGAAACCACGATGGCCGGGGATGGCTTTATAATATCATATAATATCAAGAACCGCCCTCCAGTGGGCTGCAACATGTTTCCTTTTCCAAGAGACCATGAAAAGTTTGCATTGATTCTTCTAGACAAGGTAATCTCCAAAAATGCAGGGCCAATTGGCCAATTGGTTGGATTTCTTCTACAGCTCCCGGAGAACACATCGCCTGTTCAACGTTGCCATCTCCAAAGGGATGCCCGGAGTCCCGCAGGTGACACTGATTGTGAGCAACGACAACCCCCGGATGGACATCGAAGAGGCTTCCTTGTCATTCTGTCGCTCGCGCCAAAGCCGTGGCATGCCGACCCTGCGCAACTTCATTCCCATCAACCACTGGGAGCGGGTGGTGGAGTTCTTCCGCAGTGCCAAGGATGGGGCATTGTTTCAAAGCATGAAGAAAGTAGCCTGTGGCAATTGAAGATACATATGGTCATGGCCCGTTTATAGAGGATTACCTATAACATGATCTCATGGTAATTGTTCATAGCTATGTTAAGTTACCAGAGGGTGTGTGCATATCATGAAGGATTTTGTATGCAAAATTGCACTGATTCCCAGATATGTTTGCATGTTTTGTACATACTGTCGTACTGTCGCCTAGTGTCTTGTTCAGTACATGGTTCCGTTTTGTACTATTATTCAATGTTGTGTTGTATAGTTTTGTTTGTATTGTCTTGTGATGTGTATTGTCGTGTCATGTGATTTCTGAACATGCATGATATGTCATGAAATGGTTGTATGGACTTGCGTGCCTGGCATGTTTGCATTTTTCTCTTTCAGGGTTGTTTGCATGAGATAATCACAGCCCGACGAGAATGGTCAGCGGTCAGCTTCAAAAGAGATACTGCCGCACCTATTGAGGGTTGGCAGACCCAGAAAGCAATGACCACAAAATACTTTGGCTCAAAATTTATCATTTCAATAACTCCAAGGTTCAGCTTGCTCAAATTTTGCAAATGGCGATCAACAAAGAGATTCATTATATAATATTATATATACATATATATATATATAATTTATTTTTAAGCTTTCTTAATTTCTCACCAGGTTCTATTGTGGACTGGAAAAAGTTCCACTAGAAAGAGTTCCACTAGAAAGAGTTCCTGTAGGGCAACCATGGTCACACACACACACACGCGTATGTATGCATAATACATACATACATATTAAATAAATATATATATATATACACGGTTATATTATATATGTCTATATGTCTTTATGTCTATATGTAAAAATGTATGTACGTATGTATGCAATGTAATGTAATGTAATGCAATGTAATGTAATGTAATGTAACGTAACGTAATGTAATGTAATGTAATGTATGTTATGTTAATGTAATGTAATGTAACGTAACGTAATGTAATGTAATGTAATGTATGTGTGTATGTGTGTATGTGTGTATGTGTGTATGTATGTATGTAGTGTAATGTAATGTAATGCAATGCATGCATGTAAATGTATGTATATGTATGTAAATGTATGTATATGTATGTATATGTATGTATATGTATGTATATGTATGTATATGTATGTATATGTATGTATATGTATGTATTTGTATGTATATGTATGCATATGTATGTATATGTATGTATGTGTGTATGTGTGTATGTGTGTATATGTATGTATATGTATGTATATGTATGTATATGTATGTATATGTATGTATATGTATGTATATGTATGTATATGTATGTATATGTATGTATATGTATGTATTTGTATGTATATGTATGTATATGTATGTATATGTATGTATGTGTGTATGTGTGATGTGTGTTATATGTGTGTATGTATGTAGTATATGATGTATATTATATGTATATTACTGTATATTATGTATATGTATGTAATATGTATGTATATGTATGTATGCACCAGGCCCTGCCATCCCCCCCCCCGTCCCCTCCCCCCCCATGGGATGGGTCCCATATACTGGCCCCATATGAGATCTTCCCCCTCCCCCCCTGTGGTGTGGTGGCGGTGTGGCACTGTCCCCCTCCCCCCCCTGTGGTGTGGTGGGGGTGTGGTATGGTATGTTGGGTATGTATGGTGTGTATGGTCGGTCTGGTATGGCATGTTTGGAAAGTATGGTATGTTTGGTAGGTATGGTAGGTATGGTATGTATGGCATGAGTGGTTGGTATTGTATGGATGGTAGGTGTGGTATGTAAGCCTGTTGGGTATGGTATGTTTGATATGACAGTATGTATGGTCTGTATGGTATGTATGATTACTATGATGGGTCTGGAATATTTCCTATGTAAGGTGGGTATGGTATGTATGGCATGTATGTTTGCTATTGTATGTATGGTAGGTGTGGTATTTACATTTCATATGTATGGTATGTGTAGTATGTATGATAGGTATGATAGATATGATAGGTATGGTATGCATGGCATCAGTGACATGTATGGTAGGTACGGTATATGTTAAACACAGGTAGTGTTGTCAGAGTACACAGGTAGTAAATAGGAAGTAGATACAGTAGATACATAGCACATGTATATATGACTATAGGTAGCACGTAGGTACTTTGAAGGAGTATGTGTGCTACGTAGGCCGCCTAAAAGGTAGCATGTACCTAGTAAATGCGAGGCTGGTAGTCAGAAATGCTGCAAAGACCTAGCAAATACGAAGCTGGACCTCAGAAATGCTGCCAATAGCTTGCAAATAGAAGGGAAGGGGGGTGCTACCTGGGGACCCAGCACTGGCCCCCTCCCCCCCTGTGGCGTGGTGGGGGTGTGGTACTGTCCCCCTCCCCCCCTGTGGTGTGGTGTGGTATGGTATGTTGGGTATGTATGGTGTGTATGGTCGGTCTGGTATGGCATGTTTGGAAAGTATGGTATGTTTGGTATGTATGGTAGGTATGGTATGTATGGCATGAGTGGCTGGTATTGTATGGATGGCAGGTATGGTATGTAAGTCTGTTGGGTATGGTATGTTTGATATGACAGTATGTATGGTCTGTATGGTATGTATGATTACTATGATGGGTATGGAATATTTCCTATGTAAGGTAGGTATGGTATGTATGGTATGTATGTTTGCTATTGTATGTATGGTAGGTGTGGTAATTACATTTCATATGTATGGTATGTGTGGTATGTATGATAGATATGATAGATATGATAGGTATGGTATGCATGGCATCATTGACATGTATGGTAGGTACGGTATATGTTAAACACAGGTAGTGTTGTCAGAGTACACAGGTAGTAAATAGGAAGTAGATACAGTAGATACATAGCACATGTATATATGACTATAGGTAGCACGTAGGTACTTTGAAGGAGTATGTGTGCTACGTAGGTCGCCTAAAAGGTAGCATGTACCTATATTATATAGTAAATGCGAGGCTGGTAGTCAGAAATGCTGCAAAGACCTAGCAAATACGAAGCTGGACCTCAGAAATGCTGCCAATAGCTTGCAAATAGAAGGGAATTGGGTCTGCTACCTGGGGACCCAACCCATGGGGGGGGGCGAGGTGGCTTGGACTGTTCCGTTCTATGTGACGGCTGCGCTTGTGAAGAAATAGAGAAGTCTATTAGTGAAACATGCATGCATAAGTCTAAGTATTATATTTATAAACTTATCATACATGGATTAAAATACATGTGTATGTATAGACATACATACATAAGATTACATTACCTTATTTTTCGTCACGTTAGATTACATAACAAAACAAAACATAACATACACAACCATACATAATTACATACTAACTAAATGCATACATTCATAGATACAGACATAGAAAAACCCATACAGGCATGCATTCATACGTATGCATACGTATGCAGAGAAGCACGCGGGGATCGCGGGGTTGGCGGGGTTG